CCGCCGCCGCGCGCGTCTCCATGGAAACCGGGCTGAGCGCTGGCGTCAGCCCCGGCTCGCGCCAGGCCGCTGTCACCCAGATTCCAAATCCACCTGAGCCCCTCTCGCTGGCGCCGCTGCAAAAGCCACACACATCACGGAGCCGCTGCCCTCCCCAAAAGGGCTTACATAAGGCCCCAGCCCCACTTCGGATCCGACCTGCGTGTGTGTGTGTGTGTGTGTGTGTGTGTGACAGAGAGAGAGAGACAGAGGGAGAGAGAGAGACACCAGCAGGAAACAGAGACTCAAGCTGATTGCAGAAATTACAGTCCTGATGGTGGAATTCAAATTCCGTCAAACCTCATCCACCCTCCTATTCCTCCTCTAGACCGACTCTTTTCAGACGCCCCATCACAGATCACAAAAGACCCACCCCCACCCTGCCCTATGGACCCATTAATTAAACCCCAACCAAAATGCTGATTCCCCTGATGGCCTGTTCTGGACTTGGTCCTTTACATTCCTTTCCCAAGCGGCTGGAGTCTGACTTAGTCAAGGAACGCTAACTAAGCCACCACCCAGTGCAGTGTGGCTCTGTTTACATCTGGGTTTTGTTCCGTGCTGAGCACCACCTCTTAGCCGACCGTTTAATCTTCATCATTACAGTTCTGGCTCTTCTTGTCAGACATCAGTTAGCATGTCTCAGCACTGAAAGCCCCACAGAACCATGGTTGGGGAGGGCGGTGGGGAGGGAGACTGGTCCTTTGCAAATGCCATGAGGCTGGGGCCTTATCCCAGACTCCAACCACCAGGCACTGAGGCCACAGACCCCGCTGCCCCGCCTGCACTGGTTCATAATGCAAGGTTCTGAGGACCGAAGGCCACAGCTGGGGACTTTCAGAGCCCACCCACAGGCGGGTCCTTGAAGGCTGGAGTCTGCCTTCCCCTTTCCTGTTCCACAGGACGCCGACATCAATCCTACCCCTGCTATGCCCCACTACACCCCTCCCAGGGCTGTCATGCCTCCTTACCTCCCTCACCTGGTCTGGGATGAATGGCTTCTGAGGGCCTGCTATCAGAATAATTTCCTGGTCTCTGTAAGCAGCTATGATCTGCTAGGCTTCAGGAGAGAGGAAAACTCTGTCCCAGGGAACAGCCCAGTGTAGGGAGTCTCATCTTTGCTCCGACATCTGAAGTGACTGCTAGTATTGCAACCTCGACACCTGATCGAATTAGCAATGGGGAGAGATTGGAGAAGCAGAAGATACCTACATAACTGTGACACACATGCGTGTGTACATAAAACCAAAAACCTAACTCACTGCCATTGATTCTGACTCACAGAGACCCCTCCTTGGGTTTCTGTATGTCTACGGAAATAGATTGCCCAACCTTCCTTCCAAGGAGTGGCTGGTGGGTTTGAACCGCCAGCCTTCTGGTTAGCAGTCAAATGCCTTAGGCACTATGCTACCAGAGCTCCTATGTGTACATAAGCATGTATATATGTGGTAGTTATGTTTGTGTGTCAACTTGGCTGGGCCTAGTTAAGTGGCTGGGCAGCTGGTGGTAGTTATTCCCCATGATGGGACTGGCAATCAGCTCCATGGTGGGATCTACCACAAGCAGCTGAGTAGCTGCCTTTGGGAATGTGGTCTGCTTCCTATATTTAAGGAGAAGCCTTGGGTATGGTCTCTAGCATATGGCACGCTTGGACCCTGCATGTAGCTGTGTCATTGTTCAGCAGCCTTCCATGCTCTGCCAACCTTGGGACTTAAAATTGACTTAAATTAATGGTCTGCCGTGTGGTTGGTAACATCAAGACTGTGCCTTTTTACCTGTCAACCTTGGGATTGTCAGCCTCAGCCGCTAGCTCCAGTGGGCCAGGAGCAGGAGGCAGAGCTGGACCCCAAGGTTGAGGGGCTTTCACCCAGCGCCTAGAGCCGGGCACTTGAACTCGGACTTAAAGCCTCCAAATTGTAAGAGTAAACTTCTGTTTGTTAAGGCCGTCCCATTGGTGGTATATTCTTGTCAGAGTGCCACTCGGGAACCAGAATAATATATGTGCCCAAACATACACAAATAGCCTTTCCCCCCTCATCATGTGCTACCTGCTTTCTGCAGAGAAATCTCCATTGCTTTACGTTGGAGTTTTACTGACCATAGCGTGTGCTGGCCACTGCCACTCCTGTAGTCATGAAATACCTCGTTTCCATGTCTGCTTTGAGGTCCCTAGTGGCATTCCTGTCCTTTTCTGCCTTTTGTTTGTTGTTCATTTGATCAAGAAAACTTGTTTTCACTTATATTGTGGTGAAAATATACACATCAATACATTTGCCAGCGTAACAACTTCCACATTTACGGCTGAGGGACATTGATGACATTTTTCAAGTTGTGCCACCATTATTGCTATCCTCTTCCAAAATATCCCACCACCATTAATATAAACTCAATGGCCCCCAAACAAAAACATCCCTTTTCCATCTCCCTCCTACCTCTGGTAACTACTAATAATCATTGAGATAAATATATAAATATATTTGGTGACATAGTGCCTAAGGCATTTGACTGCTAACCAGAAGGCTGGCGGTTCAATCCCACTAACCACTCCTCGGAAGAAAGACTGGGCAATCTACTTCTGTAGTGATACTGCCTCAGAAACCCAAGGAGCGGTCACTATGAGTCAGATCTGACTCAATGGCAGTGAGTTTGTTTTTTATTTTTTTGGAGATGTATATGTATATGTGTGTGTGTGTGTGTAATTATAT